CCCCCCCCCGTCCGACGTCCCGGAGCACTCTCAGCCGGTCGCAGGAGGGTAGGAGGAGGGAATTAAAAAGAGCAAATGCAAACGGGAAAATGACGTTTCATTATCATTTTTGTGACGGGTCAGAGGATTGGTGGCGCCTAGGGTATGGCCGAGCCCCAGCCAGCTAAGCAGGTGTCCAACACGCAATGTTTCTTTCAAATCAGTTTAACTGCAGAATTTTGCACCCGTGCAAAAAATTAGCTGGATGTAAAAATAGTTAGCAGTACTGGATGGCTTAAAATTAGCTCTGGTGCCAATTAAATTAGCCGAGTCTATTGAGTTAATGTTTTAGCCCCGGTGCTAAAGACTTAGCAGAGCGATGATTTTTTAGTGTGTGAAAGGTGTCTACACTGTTAAAAAAATTGCTGTAAATTTACAGCGAAAATGTGATTAATTCTGTTAGCAGCGTATACTGTACTTTTACAGGCCTTACTGTAAAAAAGCAGCGTTACTGAAAATGTCGGAAACAAAGTTTTCGACCAAAAGCAGTTACTTTGTTTTGCTCCTGTAAAAAATAAATCGTATAAATACGAGTGTCCTGTTTTGGAACGAAATGTGCTGCTAACAAAATTAACTTCTCTTTTCTTGTAAATGTACAGCAAAGTAATACGGAGTAGTTTTTGTTGTGGGCCACTATGGGCCGACTATCACAAGTTTCGAGAATGTTCAAATGAAAACAACATTTCTGTTACATTACAGGAGTGTCAATCAGGCAGTAAGTCGTAAGTTGACAGTTATTTTTAACAGTGTACTTACTCCGCGAAGAAACGTTTTCCGTCGTGCAAACAAATGCCGGTCCATTACTTTGACCTTATCTCTCATAAAACGCAGTTAATTATTTATTCATTCGCGATGTTTATTTGCACTAAAGATAAGGCGGTCGCCTCGGCGGTCGCAGTGCGGAACAACAGAACAGGCGCGCCGCCGTGGGGTACAGGATGTATGAGAACGACCGCCTACGAGTCTTGCACGAAAAAAAAAGGATAGAAAAAAAAGACGAAAGTATTCCGACTGCTTTCAGTTAACTGAAATTACCTCCCAACTTCTCCATTTTCAAACAACCAGAAACGCCTGAGCAGGTGAGCCCCCACGCATCCCCATCATCACGCTGCATGCACAGCCCGCTGCAAGGGACAAATGTACGACAAAACTCCAGCGAAGCCTCACTGCAGAAGGAAGTGAAATATATCCCTTTTATTAGCAGCTGCTATGGCGACCGCCCACTTCATTTCGCCCATCCTTCCTTTTTTATTCCCTCGCCAAAAACTTTCCCTCCCGGCGGCCCGTCTGCTCTTTTACTTTTCCCCGCTTGCTCTCCAGCTCTCCCCCTGAAGGAGGAGGACAACGAGAACGAGAAGGAGACGACGGAGTAAGAGTGATGCGAACGGAGAAAGATGTGGAGCAGGGAGAGAGAGGGAGAACGGAGACATTTCCAGGCGACTCGTTACCATAAGTCCATAACAGTTCTTCCATTTAAACGCGCCGAAAAGGCAGAAACGGAAAGATGCGCCGTGCCGTTCCGCGCCACACCACGCAGGGGGCTGGCTGCAAGTTTCCCCAGGACAGGATGGAGGAGCGGGAGTGGAAGGGGAGAGCGGATCACTGAGCAGGACGGGGGACCCAGCGGGGCCGCTCCAGCTGTCGCCGCGCAGCGCCGCGCGCCAGGAGGAGAGGATCAAAACCCCGGCACATCGAGGCAACGGCTCAAAAATGTTTACTCTCTCCCTCTCTCTCTCTTGCTCAGCCACCGGGAGTAAGCTGTCATGTTCACAACTTACCACTCAGCAGTCGGCTTGCACGGCACCACCACGACGCGGCTCGGGGTTGCGGCAGTGGAAAAAGGACTGGGGAAGTTCTAACATAAACCGCGACGAACTTGAGCAAAAGCGGGCGAAAGCCTAACCGGGCCGGCGGCGGCGAGCCAGCCAGTGCGCTGGCAAAGTAGAGTAGTAGGATTGGCCGGAGCCCCGGCTGTAGCCGGGGCTGGAGGAGAGCGAGGGAGGGCTCGAGGGGGGATGGGGAGGGGGAGGGAAGTGGCCGTCGAGCCAGCCGCACCAAGGACGCGCCGTGAAATAGGAATGCAGCCAGCAGCGGGGGAGACAAAATGATAATCAAGGGGAAGGAGAGGAGGGGACCTTGCGAGCGAGCAAGCGAGCGAGTGAGATAGAGAAGAGAGAGAGAGGGATGGAAGGCACGGGGGCGCGCAACACGCCGCGGCCAGTGGTATGATGGCATAAAATCTAACGGGCGTGGCGCGGCGTCTAACGGACACGGCGGCAGCGAGGCGGCTGTAACAGCGCCCTAAAACTATAGCAGCGCCTCGCCCGGGAAATGGATTCCGAGAAGAGCGAGCGAGCGAGCGAGACGGGAAGAGAATCAAAGCGAGTCGTGCGACACACATTGCGATGCGACACACATATCGCGGCCAAACGATACGACCCGGGCCGCGTTGCTGGCAGGCGGCGCAGCGACGCAGCGGGCGACATCTTTACAAGGCAAACGGCAGGTATAAGGCGGCGCGGGGTTGTTCGTCGCGCAGGGCTTTGCCCCACGCGCACATGAAACATTCATCACTTCAATGCGCACACACGAAAAAAAAGTTTGTAACTATTTTATCCACCATCACTTGCAACAATTCAATGTTGAAAAGTGAAAAGGGCGTAAGTCCGATGCAAAGTCTGTGGACTTACGCCCTTTTTCTTTCCACATTTCGTATAACTCTTCGTCTCCGCTCTCTCACTCTTTTTTTAAAAAATATTTTCGTTAGTCGCACGAAAATTAACAAAATTAAGCTGACGGAACAAATTAACTTTTTCCGCGCGACCTGCTGAATTTGACGTAGCCATACTCCCGAGTAATTAGCCAGAGGGGCGGAGCGACAACAGAATAATTCAGTCCGGATTTATCAAACGCGTCCCGTCCCGCCCGCCGCTGTCCGCTCGACTTGTTAACTTGATTCGCAAATCCCACCCGCCCCGCCGCACCCAACCTCTCTACCCCCTTTTTCTCCCCCTCTCTTTTTTTGTGCATACTTGGAGCCACCTGCCTGGCGCGGGGCGGGGGTCGAGCACTTTGCCCGACCCCTTTCTGCTCTCCTCGCAGTGTATACAGCCTCTCCCGTACGCTCGCTCTCACTCTCTCGCTCTCTCCCACTTCCTCTCCCCTACTAGAGCCCAAGTTGGAAACAAACAATCAATAAGCCGGCGTGCGGTCCAAACAAGTTGCTGTGAGTGAATTGGGGGTCCGTGAGGGCCCTCCTGGCAGGTGCCTGCTGCAGCGACGCCGGGGCGGGGCCAACCAGGAGGAGCCCTCAGCACTGAGGACACGGCGGCAGTCGAAACAAGTCGGACATCGCCAAGCGGCTCGCTACCGCTACCCCCTCTCCCCCTTCTCTACCTCTGGGCAGGTGTTATTCCAGGCCCATGGCCCCATGGCCGGGCCCCGCCTAATGAATGGGTACCACAGAGGACTGCCTCCTGAGCGCAGTCCCCCAACCTTACATTTTTTGAGTTTTGGGGGTCGCCGTAAACAGCAAGCGTAAAATCTGATGATGTATACGCTAACTTAACATTTGAAATTGGCTTTGCAATTTAAGTTAGTAAATTCCAAAAAAACGGATAGTCCTGGATCACGTACCGGGTGATTCAGAGCACGCGCCGCCGTGTTGCGGGTTTGCCTAGGGTTTGCGTATCCTCGACTCGGTGGGCGCACGGGTGAGAGGTGAGGAGGGGAGAGGCCACCTCTCACCCGTGCGCCCGCCGAGTCGAGGATAGGCAAACCCACAACACGGCGGCGCGTGCTCTGAATCACCCGGTACAATGCACTTGAATCAGTTAGAGTGTACCTTACTAAGTCCAAAAATTCTGTATTTTGGGTGGCACAGCCATTTTTACGATAGCCATACAATCTATGGACACCAAAAGCTCCTAAAAATGTTAACTTTACATGCCCTACGCTCAGGTGACAGATGTCTCTCTCTCTCTCTCTCTCTCTCTCTCTCTCTCTCTCTCTCTCTCTCTCTCTCTCAGGGGATTTAAGGTCGTCTCCAGTTGGGCGAGTGGGACCGCGGGCGTGGCGCGGCGGGTCCCCACGGAGCCTGCAGTGCGCGCGCGTCCCAATCCCTCAGGCCCGCCGACGCATGCGAAATTTGACAATCGCGAAGACCGCACAAAATTTCAGAGGCAGCATCAGCCGCAGCAGCCGCAGCAGTTCTGTCGAAGGAAGGCCACGCCTGTCCCACAGGAGGGTCGGTCCAGCAGACGAGGCGAAGGGCCACCGTTTGGTTGGTGCCAGTGAAAAACTTTGCCGTCCTAAATACTTAATGAAGAAAAACGAGGGCGCGGGCCGGGCGGGGGCAGGGGCCGTGGGGGCGGGCCAGGGGAGGGTCAGGGGCGGGCCGGGGGCGGTGCGGGCCTGGTCACTTAAGATTGATTCTGCAGCAGCACCACCAACCCCCTCTGCCCCCTCGACTCCTTCCCCGTGCACCAGTCGGCAAGCAACTGCCCCTCTACCTACACCCCCTCCCTCGCATACCGCTTTGCAAAAAACAATTAGCGGCCGCAAACGCTCTGCTCTATCTTCCTCTTAAGCAAAGGCCGCCCCGGTGATATTGTCACCCCTCCTCTGATGGTACCCCTGACACCACCACCACCGCCACCCACCCCCACCCAGCTTCATTTCCGGGCTGCCCTCCCCCACCTCCCCTCCCCCTCGTCCACCTGGAGAGCTCCTCAAAGGAGGGGAGCAGCGCGCTCCGTCTAATTAAAATCCATTAGATTGATTGGGCCACACACACCGTGCGACACACTGGGTACCGACCTGGTTCTTGCCCTTGAGCACGAGCACGTTGGTGACGCGTCCGAAGGGGATGCCCAGGTGAATGATCTCGGCCTCCGTCACCTCGTTGGGGATGTTCCTGATGTGAATGACGCGAGACGGTTTGGTCGCCCCCGTCTTCTCCAGTTTGAGCTGCAACACAGAGGGCAAGAGACACAAGGTGAGCAAATGGCAAGCAAAACAGATCTTTCACTGTTAACATTTTTCCTCTCAAATTTAATAACATTTTTGTGAGGCATTAACACTAACATTGATATTATTTACTATATATATATATTTTTCACAGTGTTCGAAAAAATCAAAATAACAATTCCTGCTTTACTTCATCGCAAAAGAAAGCAATTAGAAATAAACTTCCTGTCAATTCTTAAGTAGCACTGTAATTTAAGCCTCTGCAAACTAGAAAGAGAGCCCGGCGACGAAGGACATTATGCTCTGCCGACGGCCAGCAGCAGACACCACGGCTTGTTAATTTAGAGCGCATAGCGCCGGTGCTTTCATTTCAATCTGGAATTTCATAAAAGTCGCGCCCGGCACACACACACACACACACACACACACACAGAACATTATACGCGCCACGACCCGCCCGTCTGGACACCACCGCGTCGGCGCGCTGTACGGTCTGACGGGCAGCGAGGCTGGCCCACTGCCCCCAGCAGCAGCAGCAGCAGCAGCAGCAGCAGCAGCAGCAGCGGTGGCAGCGGTGGCAGCGGCGCCCGCCAGCCAAGGAGGAACAAATTACTGTGCGAGTGGTTGGGGGCGCCGAGGGAGCGAGAGAGAGAAAAGAGGGCGGGAGGACCAGCCTGTCGAGGGAGGAGCAAACAAAATGCCCATCAAATTAGCGCCATTCGCAGAGCCTCACAATTGTTTCCTTCTCCTTCTCTCTATCTCTCTCTCTCTCTCTCTCTCTCTCTCTCTCTCTCTCTCTCTCTCCCTCATATACCAGGTGGCTGATTCACGCCGTGCACTTTCGTAGTTACACTGTACCGCATGCACGCGGGCGGGCGGGTTTGCCTATGCTCGCAACGCACGGCTCCTTACGGCCCCGTGTGGGTAGGCAACCCGCCCGCACGCGTGCATGCGGCACAGTAGAGCTCCGAAAGTGCGCGGCGTGAATCACCCACCTGGTACTACCTTCTGACCCGTCAGATCTTTCCTCGCGTCTCACCGCCTTCTTCCGCAGGAGGATCCTGCAGGACTCATCAGCCGCAGGAGTCGTCGCCTCTAACCTAAGCCAAACAAGCGGCGACGGTGGTCTCGACTCCCATGGCCCGCCCCGCCCAGCCCCACCTCCCTCTCAAATCCAAATCGCTAAGCTTAAGCACAAATTGTGGCCGGACGGCCGGGCAGCCCATGAGGCTGATCAGCTGAAGGGCGGGGGAGGGGGGGTAGGAGGAGTAGGGGTAGTAGGGAGGGGGAGAGGATGGCAAGGGGCAGAGAGGTGATCTCATGAATGTGAAATAATGCAACACGCCCCGGCCCGAGGGGCCAGGCGGGCCAGGGGTGGGGTGGGGTGCGGCGGGCGGGGTGCGGCGGCGAGAGACACTGCCAGCGCCATCACCGCCGGGCGCACACATCGGCTGAGCCGGCCAGATAAAGGCGGCGCGGCGGCAGTCATTAGCAGTTAAGCCGCAGCAGAGTGACGATCAAAAGTATCGCAGAGTGGCTTATTTGTGCCCCCTCCTCTCTCCCCCCGGTGCTGCCTCCACTGGCAGCTCCTCCTCCTCCCCCCGCACTGTTTGTTCTCGCCAGCGGTGGTCGGCACCCGGCAGCGCCCGCACCCCGCACGAAGGGCGCGGCGGGGGCCCCCTCCTCATGCCCCTCCACGCCAAACCCACAAGCCGCAGCGTTCGCGCCTAGTTCAACATTTTCATAAAGGCGGTGGGGCTTTTGATTGCACGGATAAATACGCCCGAGGCAGAAATCAAAAGGGGCTGCTCTAGAACCGGGGGTGGGATATGAGGCGGGCTGCAGAGGAGCTCGGGGAGGAGGGGACCAAGGCAGAGCAGCGGAGGGGACCGCGCGCGCGTTGATTTCGGCGAGAATTTAGAGCCGATCGGACGGAGATGGGGGAGGGATGAGGAACGAGCGAGAGAGCAGTAAGGGTGCTGCACCCGCCGGTACAAGGACAGCCAAACCAATCATGGGGCATCAATTTCGGTTTTTCATTTGGCCTAGAAGAAGGCCGCGCGGTGCGGGCGGTGTCGGCGGCAGGCTGCGGGGGTCCAGAGGGAGAGGCTGGGGAGCAAGGTGAGGGGGAACCTGATGAGCACATTAGGCTGATAAACGAGCGCCTCCTCCCCCTGCCGGGCCCGGCCGCCCGGAGCCGCCCGGCGCAGCCCCACCCCGGAAGGGACCACACGGCCGGGCGCGGGCCGGCTCGTACACGGGCAGCAGCGCCGCGCCCCGCCCGCACTCGCCCTTCAAATTGAAATAAAAAGAAAATAAAGCAAAACAAAACAGGGAACGAGGAGGGATAAATGCGTTTTCTGTGCTGGAGGGGAGCGGGCCGGGCGCCCGGGGGGTAGGTCGTCCCGGCAGACACGCGCGCTGCACGGGACTGCCTACCCGCCGGGCTGGATCCACGGTAATTCCCTCTCTCTCTCCTCCTCTTAACCACACACGCACGCACCATCTCCCTCTCTCATCTCTCGTTGTGCGCCGTATACTGCTCTCCGGCATGTAGTTTTCATGCGCCGGAATCACCGTGACCATCCTGGGCCGTTACAGCAGCGGCGGCAGCAGCAGCCCCGCGCCGGACTACACACCTGCACTCTCGCGGGCCGTCACGCATCCAGCGCGCCGCGTCCGTCCTACCGTGGGCGGGCAGCACGGCGGGGCTCTCAGGCTTACGAATGTTGCCAGCGACAATATGGGCCATGAAACGTTTATACCGCACACGTAAAAGTCCCTTGGCCGTGCGGGGCGGGGCGGGCTGCATGCGCGATGCGGAGATGAGCATAGGCGCAGCCCCGACGAGCGCGCCGGTCAGAAAGTAATGAGAGAGCTGCACAAAGAGAGGATAATTACCACCACCAGAGACTGCAGAGGAAGCTAGAGGCGCCGTGTTTCCGATACCGACTGCATACGGCCTTCTTGGAGGCCGGCAGGAGGCGGGGGAGCACGGTCGCCCCCTGCCTCGCCAACCTGGGAGCGGGAGGTGCGCGGACTGGTGGAGCGGACACGGAGTGGGAGAGAGAGAGAGAGAGAGAGAGAGAGAGAGAGAGAGAGAGAG